GTCTACGATGTGACAGCAAGAAGACTCTGAGCGGATGCGAAAGTCCTGTCTAGAAGAACCGAAAATACTAGTATTCAACTTAATCCTTGTCTTCCAAATGAGGAAATGCGCGTCAGATTCTCCTCAAAACATGAACTGACCGCCTAACTACAGTACACCAATGTAGAGGAAATGCAGAAACCATACATCCCCAGTAATTCACTTGGCCGGGTGAGGCTAGAAATGACTAACACCCACTGAGTATACCAAATACAACTTACTTTCACATCGTCTGGTGCAGTTTTGAAGTTTGCATACGCGATCTCAAAGTTGGAGAGTTATTTCATCGCTCCGGCATGGAACACAATAAAAGGCCCTTCTCAGTAGACTAAATAACTCGTCTAGAATCGGCTTGATTTATTAGGCCTTGAATGACTGAATTATGAACTCTTAGGATGTAACTGTCGATCAGCATAAGAGGGAGGCAAAATGACTGTCGTTCACAGGTGGTTACTTGAACGTCAAGACAAAAGTTCGCGGACTAAAGACATCCGTTGATGCATTGGCGGATCGTTCGTATAATATGAGAAAATTTTAAAACATTTCCACTTCTTTGAAGATGAGTTGTATTTGGGTGCCGATAATGTACACCTAAATATTATCAAATCCTGTGGTCAAATTTAACAAGTTCAAGACGGAGACTGATGGAAACCACTTTCAGGTTGTATTATCTGGTCACAACTAGTGAAAAACTACATCATAATTTCAGCTTACTTCTGAAAATAAGACTGCCTTGAAACACCTGTACAACTTTAAAGCTATGAAGGTGGTTAAATGTAGGATACTTCCCAAATGCTTATTGGTGTCTCCTGGGCGCGCGTTTAATGAAAAGAAGCGTGATCTTACCGTGGTTTGGCCCTTTAGTTTTTGTCGTGAAAAACGCAACGAAGGCCCTGGTTTTCAGCAGGAGTATTCTCTCGAGCTTCAACTTCCATAATTTTACATTGTTTTCGCATGTATTTCTGTCCGTACAATGAGGCTTTACTTCTGTTCTAGTTCTCGTTTAATCTCATAATGCCGAGGTTTCTACTCCTCAAGTTTTTTCATTGTTTGTAGTGAGTTTTGCACCCCTTATTAAACATTTTAAAACAGCGGCACCCGAATAGATGTACAGGAGGCACGACTGCCGTCAACCTGTTAAGGTGGGTACACAATGCGATACCTGCGGTGGGTAGTTCCCTGGAGCTTGCACAGGCCCAATGCAAAATGAGTACACTAAACTCAGTGTCGCCGCCACTTGTGTGGATTTGTACTCGACGATGTTCTTAAGAACATCGAAAAAAATTGCTCAAGTCACCTGACGCGAGTAAGGAACTGGTTTGATGGAAGACATGATGTATCTCAGCCGTGCAATAGCATCAACTATCCTATAATCCTTCACTAGAATGTTGTCATCAACAGATGAGGCCCAAAATGAAGCGGTCATATCGAGCAAGGACGCTTAAGGTGGAGAATGAACATCGGTTACACAAAACAAGAGCAGTAGGATTTCAACTCCAGTCAAATTCACCTGGTCTGGGAATGCGGGAGGTGTCGGGGACAAGCTCAAGCGGGGTAATCTGGAAGTTTGGAAGGCTAGGCCTGAGTCTACAAGGAAGTGAAATGGGCAGCAAACCATGCGAGCTGCTCACAAATTTGTCAAACAAGCAAACGTGCTACCCAAGAACGAGGGCAACGCTGAGGAAAGGACAAAACTCAGCAAAAAAGCAGAAGATTCAACAGGTGGCAAAACAAAGTTCCTTTTGGAGCGATTCTATGATCATCATGAACCTGACAGCTAGTTCTGATCCACCATACAGCCTTTAAGACACCAAGGATAGGGTTCTGGGGAGAGCGTGTGTAGAAAACTCAAGCTAGACTACATTAAACTAGTAGCCGCAACTGGGCTCCCGCGTGGGCCCTATCCAGTAATTGAGGACAAGCCCCGACTCCTAAGGCCTACATCCTCCAACCCATAGGATGTCCAAAATGCTCTCTAAGCATCTTGAGGGCTGAAAGCCGAAGGGGAAGTAAAGGTACCACCATATATCCCACCTCAGAAGAAGAATGGTTGTGAGGAAACTCTCGGGCAATAATCGTGACGCCTACTTTAGAAGAAGAAGCCCAATAATCCGAGACATGGCAGAAAACCCGGGCGCCGAGGATATTCACTACAATTCCCACGAACGGATGTTCCTTAAAAATACTACGAACGTCAAGGGATTATTAACCCAAAGCGTTTCGCAGACGCCCAGAAATGCGGAAAACTGACTCTACAACAGGGTGACGTACTTTTCTAATGTGTACTCTACTGACTACGCAACCCAGGCTAGTGAAATAGTAATCAAACGCCCTGTGTTTGGGTCCATTGGGCGAAAAGTACCGCCATGCTTTCATTAGCCCAAAACGCATAGGCAGTGACTAGTCGAGTAACAGACTCATCACCTGAGAGGAGCCCATTAAGTGAGGAGTGACAGACAGATAATGAACTTGCAGTGAGTGTTTCCTCAGGAAGTCTATTCTGGATGTGGGAGAACTTGTTGGGGAAGGAATTGCCCCGCAAGGTTGGTCTTACAGCACTCAGTTTTAAATAATAGTCTGTGATTACGTATTACCACTGCAGATCCCTCCGCATTTGTCGGCGTGGAACCGTAGAAGGCTATCAACACATCAAGAAGAAACCTCTTCTAGTTCATGTCACAGTGTCATCTAGCTCATGGCTATAACAGGCGTGTACGACTTTTAGGTCATCGGCACGTAGAAAAGCGTCACCTGTGGCGATGCAGTCGCAAACACTGTCAATGTAGACAATTGACAAAAGAGGTCCGAGAACTCCACCTTGCACAACCCCACTTGTTGTGTATCTCAGAGTAGATAGAACCGACTTGATTTTTGTTATTTGTGTGCGACCACTAAGAGGTGATTTAGCCAGCTAAGCAGAGGGTTCCTGATACCCATCGTCTTTAAATTTTCGAATAGTATATCACGCAAACCATGTCATATGCTCTCGATATATCGAAGTGCAGAACAAAAACTATTTTGCGTGCCCCACGACTGCTGTTAACGAAGTTGAGGAAGTCGAAATGGCACGCAATGCACGATGTTTTTTCAGAAAGGCATGCTGAGATTTTGTTACATAATCTTCCGTAAGCAAGCATTCAGACATACCGCGTTTTACAACGTTTTCCATGATTCACGGGGAGATCGGGATTATATTGATGGGTCTATAGTCACTGACACTAGCTTTTTCCCTAGATTTGTAATGCAGAATTACGAAGCTAGTTTTTCACTCAGTTGGTTACGTTCTAGTTTCCATTGTAAGCGTCAACAAGGGAATGTCCTGTCTAATATTCCTCAAGGCTACTGAATCGAGGCCGTCTACCTCTACTTCTTTCGCATGTCTTCGGCTTTTGACGGCTTCAGCCATACTTTTGTAAGTAGATTTCACAATCGCAAAATGGCTACTGGGGACTGGTGTGTTAGTGATAAGAGCACGCTTTTAGCAAATGAAATTCCCAGACCAGTCAGTAAATAGTTCACAAATCATGACTGGACTGTTGCAGGTTACCTTTTTATGAGACAAGTACAGTTTATCTTTCGTCGCTTGAAAGCGCTTCTTTAGAAGTGATTTTAGACTGTGTACCTTGGAGCCAGTTCTGAGCGCTTCCAACTCCCCATTTCAGGCGTTCTGTGCACGTAAGCATTTGGCTAATTCCAGAGTATCATAAATCACGTGCAGCGAGAAGAAATCCTCAGTGAAGCGATATAGATTTGACGGTCACCCAGCTTTCTGGGGTATAAGGATGGAATGTATTCGGAGTGGAGATGTGGTTTCGCTGTTATCACAGGAGCAGCGGTATCTAGACACGACGCGACATTCCTGTAAAAAAGGGATACCGTGGTTGTTAGTGCGTCAGTGGTAAAGTAGTCGTCCAAAGGGGAGAACCCAAGAAGATCCGAGAATAGTTTCCAGTACGCAACTTTGTAGATGCGATATTCAGTAATCCGTAGGGCTTGCCTACTACTAGCGTTTAGTGTTGGGACAGGTAGACAACAGAATACGATTCCGTGGTCACTTTTGGAAATTTCACCATCGACACAAGTACACGTAAAACGCGGTGTACCATGTATATAGCCTCAATGCCATGTAACTTGAGGTGTCTCTGTCAGAGAAGGGTCTGGGCGTTTTACTCCCTCAAGACTCAAAGTTCTATGCCAACTGTGACAGAAAAGCACTTCTTGGAAACTTGGCGTTAGTAACTCTTAGATAAACTTTCGGACAGTTCAGTCGTAGGTGCTGCCACCAAATTTTCAACAACTTCACACAGCCCACCTGGGATTCGGCACCATCGCTCTCTCCGCTTTGCTCCAGAAGGACAAATTGAGCTTAGAACGCATCCAGAGGCTGTTGACAAAATCTGTTCTAGAACCTTGATCTAAAATATGCGATGGACTTATTGTTCTGGATCTGTATTCTCTGCAGTAAAGAAGGCCAAGAGGAGAAGTGGTCATGACTCATAGCATTCTGAGCAGGCCTGAATGCCCATTCCGTCACTTATTAAATCTTAGCACAAACCTTAGATGATACACAGAAACTAAGCTTGGAACATAGCAGGTTAGATGTAAGGTACAACTTCTATGCCCGAAGAGTTGTGAAACCATGGAATACTCCGTCTGCAGATGTGATCCAGGCTACTTCGTCTGAATCCTCTAAGCGCTGACTGAATAATTAATCGATATATGGCTGGGATATACCCAGAACCAATTGAATTTTCACGTCACGTTTTCTTTTTTCGCTGCTTGTAAACAGGTTCGAAGCCACAAGAGGTAGTGATCCCTGAATTTAAGACTCGGAAGCCAGTTAAGTGGAAGCTTCTATTCTGTCAACGACCATCTGAACATTTACATCATTTGTCTCACAAGTCAAGGTCGTATAAACGATGAATCGTTGTTACTTTATTTGAAAGTCTAACCTTGAGACAATAAATTGTTTGAAGTAGTTTACGTATGTACAAGCACTTATGCAAATTTGTTATTTTCAGTGTTTCATTGATGTTCGTAATTTGGTTTTTTAAATCAGTCGCATGTTTCTTGTTTTTTTTCCATCCCAGCTTTCCGAGCTAGCATAACATTCGATTTCTTCACACTGGCTCCCAGCCATCGAGAATAGGTTTCTGTGCAGTAGGTCCAACCACTCACCTTCCGCAGCTCTGGTAAACCCGGTGGGTGGTTAAGTACTTTTTACATTTATAGGGGAGTGTTTGGTCTTTCCTGAGACTGTTGTGCAATTTGGTCCCTCAAATATTGTGTCACCAGACTAATTTTCGAACTGATTGTTAAATAGTTTGCAGTGCGTGAAGATAACCACGGGAAATAAAAAAAGAAAGTTTGGAAGAACAAGAAATAAATAAAACGGGAGGTGAAGAGGAATCTAGGGAAAGAAAACTGTGGTATGGGGGACCTTAATGTATAACTTGAATTCATGGAGTCACAACGGAGCAAGAGATACTCTTGCAGGGATAATGGTTATAGAAATATCAGTGATATTACTGGTATGGTAACTGGCAAGGTAGCCCATCTTATAGGGAAGGATACAGTTGAGTGGAGTTCGGGATAATATTTCCAGTATAAGAGTCGCTGTGGAGGCGACTATTGGAATGGAGCGGAAACAGTAGGATTTTTCCGACTGGATGAGCACAAGCTATGTGTCAATCTGTAGCTCTCCAAGCCTTTCTTGAAACTGTTAGTGGAGCAGTGGCTACTTGAGTGGATAATGCATCTCAACTAAGAGGTACTTTTTTTGACCTCATATGACTTATACTGTATCTTACAACACTCTTTGTGACTCACCTCTGTAATGTTTCCAGTAGATTCGGGTCTCTTTTTAGGTGAGGTAGTGGAGGGACAATGGGAACCTCTAAGTAGATATGTGTGCAGATCTTGTGAAGCTTCGGGAAATGTTCGTGAGTGGGGCACCTATTTTTCTGTGCATGCAGTTTATCACTGCTTAAGTTCTGGAAGTGTCTTCTCGATAATTGGAGTTAGTGTCCAGTTTGTCATTTAGTAGTAGTCCCAGGTCTTTTTCCGTGGTCGTATGGAAAAGTTGCGTACCATAGAGTAGGACGGTTTCTATGAGGTTGGAGTGGAGAGAGACATTTTTCACCTACTCTTCAAGCATTCTGAGGTCATCATGTAGTGCACTCGATTTTCCTTCACTATCATAGCTTTTCATGTATTGGCTTCATCAGCTCACAGTAGAATCACAGCGCTGAGACGCAATGGGTAGTCATTCGAAAAAAGGTAGGGGCATACTCAAAACTACTTATGATAGACCAGACGTTGATGCTACCCAATTTGAGCAAACCCTGTTGTATAATTATGCAAAACTCCCTACCGTTTACATAGACGTCGACCCAGGATAGCACAGCCTCTGGTAACCAACTTTGCTATTTCACACATAAGAATGACGTTCGACATTATGTCGAAGGCCTTGGCAAAACGCAGGAGACAAAATGAACGGGGACTTAGAAATTTTCGAGCACCGTCCCGTTGCCAAAGGTGGCCAAAATGTCCGACGCATAGAACCCATGCCTTCGAAAGCCGTGTTGAGCGTCACTTTGTGTTCCCTTTTTGTCGAAGTATGTCCTGATATCGTCATTTATCAGGCATTCCACTACTTTTGAAAACACCAGTAGGGTTGCTTTAGATTGACAGCCCTCCGAGTTCTACCTGTCTCCTCCTTTGTGGATCGGAGGAAACATAGTAAGTTCCGAATCTCGGAGTTTGTGTTTATCTAATTGGTGATTAGAAAGGTTATGGAGCGAGGTACGCAGAATGTCTGCATATTGCTTCTGAAAAGTTTGTATTGAGCAACCTCCTATTTCCCGTACCTTGATTTTACATTGATTCCTTGAGACCATGTGTGCCGTATGACCCATTTGTTTACTGAAGATCCTCCATTTGTGCCTAGCTTTCCAGAGATTGACAACTCGACCTTAGTTTCCTAACTTTTTTATGTCTCCGGATGTGAACATTTCTAAACCAAGAAATAAATCAAATAAATTGGCCGGTAAATCAATATTCAAAATGCGATACGGCAAAGTAAGATCAAACCTCATCCTGCCATAAAACCTACTCGATCTCGTCTTTATTCGTACGGCAGGGGGTAGAAGTCTGTTTGAAGATTTTACTTTTTATTTTGTAGAGACGATTTAGTGTGTCAGCTTAACATTTAAAATATAGGTCGTTTGAATCCTATACTTTTATTGAAGTCTTATATCCATCTGACATGGACTTCAAAGCATATCAAGGATCTGAAAAACCTTTTCTAGCGATCATAAGACTTGAAAACCTTTGACAACTGCTGCTGTACAATTACATGATGATTTCAGGTCATGAACACCAAATACACTATAGTCTTTGCATTCAGTTACTTTGAGGAGCAGCATATTACTGAGTAAGCACTCATGTGAACTAAAGTGACAGGCATTGATAAAAATGATATCACCCACAACTCTGTTAACCACTCGAACTGGATTGTCAACGCCCACACCTGAAGTATTTTCGGTAAGATGTTTCTAGGAAAGTATCTTTACCCTATCTAAGTCAAGGGTTTTTTCCAGATTTGGTGTTTCCAAGCTTCACCTAGAAGTCTAATGATTATAGAACCTGGAATCTCAGACACGTTTTTCGTAAGACCGATTTCCAACTGGCTATCAATGAACGATTTCTCTCCATTCTTGGAGACTGAGAAAATCAGTTATTCGCGGTAATCAGTGGAGATAATAACTAGTCCCCATACTCTGACTAACACATTAGTTAATCCAATTTCTCCGAAATAATTCGACTAATCAATAACATTTTGTCTCAGCTTCTTTCATTGGTCTAAATAACTGTCAATTGTCACCCATCACCACTGCCTTCTCCATCTCTTCGGTCTTGATTGTCTGCCGAGCTTCTGCATTTGAAACGCCTGCCTAATCCAGCGATTTCAACGAAAGTTTTAACTTGGCTCTCTTTGTAATCTATGCAGTCTGTTTTCAGAACATATAACTTAGTCCGTAGAGGAATAAGTTAGCTTTGGCTTACTTGTTTCAGTGGGCAATACATCAGGGCATTCAGTGATGCTACAGATGTCATACTGGTTCTGACTGAGAACATAACAATTGACCTTGCTACCCCTGATATCCGTAAGCGTTGGATTGTTGAAATGTTAGAAATTCAATAACTTCGGTTATATAGAACTTGAATTACCAAAGCATTCTACACATTCAGCGATAAGATGGTTTGCTGCATTTATTATACACATTGTCTTCGGCTTTTACATCCTTTTTGGTCCATGATTATTACATTGCACACTGTCATCTACCAAAGAAATAGTCGCGCCGCCCGAAATAGTGACATAAGAAAACCACTCTGTTCAAGTGGAAAATAACACTTCCTTATAACAAAACTGAGGAATTCGATAAAATAAGACAAAACCAAAACATGTCACTATAAGGTGACTTTACCCAAGATTTATTTATGTTATAACAACAATGCAAAAATACTAAAAGTGTTGAAAACATTTTCAAACGCTTTGGAAATCAAACAAATCTAAATATGACTGAAGTAGTTCAGGCTAAAGTTTACCGTCAAGCTTTTTGCTATGATACAAAAAATGAAAGCTGGACCTATCAAGAATGTGGGGGAAGTTAACCCTCTTTTCAAGAAGTGCAAATCATGTTGTTGGCAAATGCATACAGTATTTTTCATCTAGTTTCATACTCAGACACACTTAGTTTCTTGCTCAAAGATCGTTATTGATTGAAATATGGAACGACATGACTCAGATACGAACAAAGGCAATCATCTAGCTTTATATAACTTAAATAATTCAACTATAATAACTGGAAAACATGATTTTAGTGAATACATCTTTTCAATAAATATTCCTTAGACATTACAGTTACATTTGGAGATTATTCAACATAAGCACTTGATACCATTATGATTAGTAAAGTTTGGGTACGTGAATTAGAGTGTGTTAACAAGAGCGACGTCAACAATAACAAAATTATGTAGCAGCCTATATAGACTCAGCGGTCAGTCATTTTGAATGTATCCGTGGATCGTATGTATCTGTTGGGATAAAGGGGAACAAAGTATTGTCTTAGAGTAATCAGATAATAAGATATTTAAACTCTTAACAAATTATGAAATTAGTTAAACATATGAAATTTCAATTAAAGTGGAGCATAACGGTGATAATAATAATGAAAACATACAAATGTAATATTTACATTTCTCTGGATGACTGCATAGCATTATGCTGGATAATCAGAGGCACAAGAATTGTGATTATATGGTGGCACTTTGCTTAGAATGGTTAGGGCTGACTAACTTGCTGTTATTCTTAAGCTTAGTGTCCACTAGAAAGACGAATAACAAGCTTCTGATTAGTTTTGTTGTCTTTTTGCGTAACCATACTGTGAAGTGCCTAATGAAGCGATGATGGGGTCACCGAGTCGTTTTACCTATCCATCTCTCTCCACAGAAACAGGCAACTTATAAGATTCAGGTCTATTGTTTAAGGATAAAAGTGTAATAGTCTACATTAATCCTTTCCTAGGAAGTCTCCATGTTTATCCAGTCCTTCTTTGAATAAATCAATTGATGACGTGGATACCACTTCGTCTGAGAGTCCGTTCCAGAATTTGATTACTCTGCACAAGGACCAGTACTCTACGGGGACTACATTCTTTTGTTTTTTATTCACCTACTATGTCCTCTGAGATGTCCAGACCTAATGGGAAGGAAAAGAGAAGATAGATCAGGGATGAACTTTTTAGCTGATTTTATCCATTTAATCCATACTCCTTATAAAACTTATGAATATGTTTGTGCCGAGCATGACTGTTTCTTGTTATCCCTTTTAGAACGCTTTTTGTGGATGACTTAATTATGCATACTACAAATTAGTGCAAGGTGATGCTCAAACTTTGATATTTTATATTGATCTGCCTTTCTGATTTTAGGCATCCCTGTGGATCGTTGCTGAAAAGGAAGCAGTGAAGACGATATCTTTTTACAGCTTAGCTATACTGTGCATTCAGTAAACTTCTTTTCATATGTAGAGTTCTGAAAACCTAATTTATACTGATCACACAATCGTATGATGTTTCTAGGTAGTCCTTTATATTCAAACATCCTGTGGTTATTGCTTAAGATCAAATCAAGTAAAAAGTGCTTATAACGCAACCTGTTACATGTATATTTTTCAATTGAGGTTATTAATTTAAACTGCTTAGTTTGTTATCATTCGCATTAAAAGATCACTTCAAAGTATTTAACAAAAATTAACTATTATTTTCATCTATTTCAGATTGAAAAATTGAAAATACTTCTTAGATCAAGAATATGACTATCTTGTGTTATCATATTGGCTTACAATGGGTTGCACTTCTACTGGCTTTAATTATGAGCTCCACATTTTTGATAACGTAAGCTGATAATCATGTTTACCATTGAACATGTTAAAGGAAATATACTTGTTTATCTTCACCAATTATATCATTGATGCCTTCACTTCTACAACAGTTAAGTAATTAGTCATACACATAGTACAAGTGAAAACAATTCTTCTATTCAGTGTAAGGATAACTTTCATATTTATTTCTCAAGGATTTTACCTGATGTTATTAAAAACTAAGTTTTTGTATTGAGTGCAAGTGAATAAATTCTGGTACATCTAGAATTACATTACTGTTGTTCATAAATTTTAAAGTATGTTAAACAGTTGGAGGGTGTTCTTAGAGAACATGAATTGTTGAAGATCCTTAGTCGCTGCTACTTTCTAATTAACTGATTAATGACTCTTACTACTGTAGTTCACCTTCTTGGCACTAAACTACTATTAGGTTTAAAATAAATAAATCAGCATTTTACGGCGTCGTTGGGTGATTTTAGTCTTGTAAGTTTATTTTAGCGAATAGTCACCCGCTCGTTGACATTCGCCATTTTTACGTCTTCTTTGCGCTGGTCGGCAGCAACTAGCTCAGACTCCCTAGTTTAGGCATTACTACACAGATAAGTTAACATTCTTCCCCGTTATATTTGTGTCAATACTTTTTACCATATTACGTGTTTTCTAATTTGTCTTTTGTTACTAATTCTTGCACGTAGGTAAGATATGTATTAGTTAGGTGCTGGCGCACATTGATTTACGTATGACTGAGCACCTCACATTATTAGGGGGAAAATAAAGCCGAAATCAAACTTTCAAAGTCACCAGAGAACGACAGCTGCACACATATGCATAGTTCGGTGTTTCTGGGAATGAAACTTCTTCCACTAAGTGAAGCCAAATAGCTCACTGATATTCTGTTCTCAAAGCTGCGTTTACAAGAAAATTGGTAAAAGTTATGAAATTACTCACTTTATACTTTTTGGCACCGAATAACAAGACTTTTTTTCAAGGTCAAAAAAAGTACTCAACATTTAGCAAAAACAGCAGCAAACTCCCGTCAATAACCATGTAGATACTTATGCTACGTACCACAGTACGTACCAATGAAAAACTTTGTGAATGAGTTTAACTCTCCATTTGATGGGATTATTTCAACTTCAAGGAACAAGACATTACTGTGATCACTATCTCATTAACTAGTGAAGTTCAAGACTGGAGATGATTTTTCCTGAAGACAAAATATTTATAACATATATCAATTTTAGGGACTACTTTAAAGGCCACCCTGATAAGGGAAATAACCAATCAGACCTCTCTATTTTAAGAAAGTATGCCCCACTAGCCAAAATAAAGATACCTTATTGGTTATTTCTTAAAGCGTTCCTAGGGTGGCTTTTAAAATTGCCTAATTTTAGTAGGTAAAATACTTTGAAACACCATTCTCAGTTCGGTAAAACATAAAAGTGCATTAAATGTATTATATAAGCCTCATTTAACCAATTAATTAGGCTTTCTACTGAGAAAAATGTTAACGTAACGGTTAATAATATAAATCTCAAATTATTGCTACCATAAAATATACAATCGTGATTGAGAGAAATATCAATCTGATATCACGATTCTCTTATCTGTTTAACAACCACTGTGATATTTCGTTGACTTGAATTTGCTAGAAAATTTTTGTTAATATTCATTAGCAAAATACAACACTTCTCAAAATTGATTCATAGACTTTGAGATTTTGAAAAGACTATTTTAATTGTGTGCGAATCTTAAGTATCTGTGCTATGCTCATAAAAATGATGATGATGATGATTTAGTGAGGATGAACAATAAGAAACATCTACTGAAACGATAGATAATTAAGAAGGCATCTTTCATCGTAGTTGAATAAGATCTCGGATGGATTATTCAGGTTTTTTCTTGAGATTGTTTACTTATAATGATAAATTCTTATCTCAACAACTTGCTTCCATAACAATCATGATTTGACTATCTAAGATAGCCGTAGTTTGGCAGTAAAAATACTAGTCTGCCAAACTACGGCTATCATAGGGTAGTCAAATCATAATCAATATGATGCTCCCCCTCTCTGATTCAGTTAGATTTGGATTTGGATGAGAAGTCCTGACTAGTCAGCCAGTGTGTGAATACTATCGAGTGATAGTAATGCGTCACGAATTCACATGATAGTCGGTCAAAATCCTTGGTGATTGAAGTGAAATAAAATTCTGGTCAGCAGTTGGACCTCGTAGTTCCATAATAATATTGAAATATCTAAAAAATCAAATTCAGTCAGCTGTTAGGCTGTCATCAGATTGGTATTATATTATTCTTATGAAAAATTTGTCTGTTAAAAACTTCTACTGTAAAATATTATAGTTTACCATCCTTGTATAGCACTTAATTGATCTGTTATTACTTTAATTTAGGTATTATGTTTCGGTATACAAAGGACACGTGAATGCAGAGTTACCATTCATTAGGTAAGACATTTTTATGTTTGTTTTTAAGTTAAATATTCATTTCTGTTGATTGTGTAGATGCGTTTCATCCAGCACAATTTTGTTTTTTAGCAGCTGCAAAAAGAATAGCTACTACTGATCTTTAATGGCTTGTGTTTTCAGAAAGGTGGTAGAGAGACGAAGATACTACTTGGCATAGATTTCAGATTTCTTTCAGAGTCAGATTTGCTGTTTGAGGGTAGAAGGTTATGAGCCAATATAAATCCTTTCCCAACAGATTTATGTGCTTCTACAATCCCCGTTTGAACGAGTCAGTTGATGATGCGGACACCACTTCTTCTGCGAGTCGGTTCCAGGCGTCGGTTACTTGACACGAGAACCAGTACTCTGAGGAGACTATGTTCGTTTTTTGCTTTTGTAGCCTCCTACTACATTCTCTGAGGTCTCCCGACCTAGTGGGAAGGAAAAGAGGAGATAGATTAGGCCCAAAGTCATTTCTTAGAATCCTGTGTAGCATGATTAGGTCTCCCCTCTGTCTGCGATTGGATAAAGAGAAGAGGTTCAACTCCTTAAGTCGATCTTCATAGGTCAGACCAGTCACTGCACAGATCATGCAAGTGGCTGCTCTCTGAACTCTTCCCATAAGGTCTGATTCACCTTTCAGACAAGGATTTGGCCCCTGTGTACAGTTTTCTAGTTTAGACCTTACTAAAGATGTGTATAAGATGGTGAACATGTCACCACTTATTTTCGTCAATGTTCTACGTAATGCCCAGACTCCTAAAACTTCGAGCTGCTACCAATCGACAGTGAGCTGTGGTTTTCAAATCATAACTCACTGTGACTCCTTGGTCATTGTGGGTCAGTGTTGACAGTGAAGGAGTCCCACCAGTTTCGTAGGTGTTGCCATCTGTATGCTACAAGTGTATGCTTACACATTTACCTAGGTTGATGGGCATCAGCCACTTCTCTGACCTGGCAAACGAGCTGTTCAGGTCTGTCTGAACTGCACGTACATCCTTCTCATTCCTAATTTCCCACCAGATTTTTATATCAGCAGCGTACAAAACCGTAGGGGATTTCGTGATGTTTGGCAGCTCATTTACGTATAGGAGGGATAGCAGGGAACCCAGGCCTGTACCTTGCTGCAATCCACTCCACTCCCAAGAGGAGAGTTGATAATTGATCCTTACTCTCTGTCTCCTACCAACAAGGAACTCTCTTATCCATGCAATGTTTGCCAATGATTCCTAAACTTTCCAGTTTCCCAAGCAACCTGGAGTGAGGTACCTTGTCGATCGCCTTACTAAAGTCTATGAAAATGACATCTACAGGTGTCGTGTCATCCTTAGACAACCCAGCTTTCTGTGACTGTGAGAAGGTTCGTCAAGCGAAAGTTTGGTGAAAGACATGATGAGAACGAAACAATGGAGTGCTGCTCTCTAAGTGAATAGTAATGGCTGTCTTGATTACTTTCTAGGAGTTTTACTACAGTACTAGTCAAACTTTATCGGTCTGTAATTTGATGAGTACTGCCTAGAACCTACATGGTAGATAGCTGTGACCTTGGCTTCCTTCCAATCACGGGAGTGTGTGACTTCACTGAGTCTAAATGTAGTAGTCATTTGGTCGGCCCTATAGAGTTTGAGTCCTCTGAGCAGCTTTGGGTGCAGCTCATCCGGTCGCGTTGATTTTTCTACATCGAGAGTACTTTATGTCCAAAATACATCATTGCGATCGATATCCACAGAGTTTATTTTGTTGGATGTCAATGATTCTACTGTTGAATAAGTGTCCACAGAACTTTCCTGTATAAAGACTTCAGCGAAATATCCAGCCATAGCTTCTGTTTTTTCCTTGTCGTCTTCAGTCAAACAGTCAATTTCTGTCCCTTTGACTAGGGTGGGTGTACCAAGATACATTTTATTTTCTATAGTTTATATGAAAAAATAACCTCTTCGGATATTACAATACAGCCTGGGCAAGACGTGTTTCAAAGCTTATTCAAAACCAGCGAATAGCAGTGATACATTTGTTTCGAGCTTCTTTGTTATTGCTTCATCACCTCGGGAATACCGAGGTGGGTGGCAGGACTCCAACACTTCTTCATGCGTCATAGCAGATTTGAATTCCAGTGTTTGTCCACGGAGGACAATGTTCCCGTCCCTTCGGAACAGTCCGCTGAATGAACGGTTGAGTCATTCGTGCATATAATTGTTTGAAGGATCACTGTACAGTCTCAATTGGGGCTTCTGTATTGACCTTCCAGTCCTCTGAAGAGTTTATCAAGTTGATGGTTCCCATATTCGCTTTCCATATATTGGGTCTAGCTAGAGCATCGGCTTGGTATAAGACGGCTGCTGGGAGTTAAAAGATGATCACAGCATGATAACTTTTACTAAGGAGTACAAGGTGTAAAGTTATTTTAACCATATTTCTGAAGTGAAAAGGTCATATTATGTTCTGGTGATTCACTTGATGTCATTTACTTTTCAACTTTTATCATGTGAATAATTCATCAGTCTTCAAAACACTGCTTCATTTAGCTTGAATATCGAATCGCGGAGGTGATAAATTTATTTTAGCACAGTTCAGTAAGTAAAGATATAGCTTGTCACTATACTTCCATCCTTTCTCGATTGGCGTAAAGTTTGATTCTTCAGGATAGTGGCTTTACTCATTAAGTTGTGATCACTATTTTGCCAAACCGTAGTCGATTGTCGATTTTTGGATTTATTCCTTATTTCTCGACCGATAACTGCTACCTTGACGTAAAGGCCGGAATTGTGTATCACAATAAGCCGATGAGCTATGCTGGTGACAATACTTGTTCTCTTGAGATCCTATCATACCAGAAAGGTCTGTTGTATGTTTTTAAAATAAAAAGCAGTTATTATCGTATTGTAAATTGTTGCTCTATGATAGAGCCTCGAGGAATAAGTTGCACTGCTGGTGGAAAGAGCGTGTCGTAGGAGTAATTTGTTTCTCGTGGATGGCCAGAAGTACCATTCTAATGCTGTCTTTCTCATGCAAAAAGGGGAGGGGTATAAAAAATCGGCCTCAAAAATACCCCACTACTCTACCCAGCCGTCTTTCGATGCCTATCGCATTATTTTTATAGTTGTATGCAAATCAGCGAAAGATAAGCTTCAGTCGTCCATACAGGCTGTGGGTGATCGACCTCATGCAGATATCCACTTAGCTCTGTGGTTATACACCACCATTACTAATACAATTTCTTACCAAGGTACCTCAAAAAAGTAACTTTGCAAGGTGTGTCAAGCGGAGAGTGTTAGCCCCCTTTGCAAATTTGTCAGCATTCAATTACCTTTAGATAAGTGCCAACCTTTCACATCTTTACCTCCCAATATTTTTCCAGACATTTCAATCAATATTGGTGCAACATCTTTAATTTATTCCAGCTCTGCAGCTCTCGATGACAATTTAAGTTCATGGAACAACATCCTTAGTCTGATAGGATTGGGCTTCACACATCAGAGCTTTCAGTATCCAGACTCTCTGCTAAATCAGATAACAAGCTTCTTTTAGCCAAAACTGTAATATTTGGGGCTATGGACGTAGGCTACATTTGAGAAACAAGCAAATAGGATCCGGGTGTGATTAATCACGCAACCTAATCCAACGAATATATTGAATATGCGAAATTCACCCTTCCGGTTTCTGGAAATGCAATGGCTGGTTTTCACGGTCTTACAGGTATATGTGGAGCAGAAAATGCACTGCTCGACTTGGTCCTAGTCGACAGTGGCCGCTGCACCGCCGGCCGGAATGGTGCAGTGAGATTCACCGTTTTCTCTTTGCAATTGCTGCTTGCACTGTCATCGGCCGCAGTTAAAATGGAGTGAAGAATGAGTTCTACCGAAAACTGTCTAGCCTCCCTCTGAAAATCCACCTATCAGATGTGATGCCATAGCAAGCGATTTAAACGCAAAAGTCGATAGGCTAAGTTAGATGGAGGCGTACAGATGGCAACTTCTGAATCGTAGCCATATAGACATGATGGCTATCGCCTGTTACAGCTATTCTCAGACAATCACCTATTTCTGGTCGGCACTATGCGCAGAAATAAGAAGAGAAATTGACTGACGTGGCGTTCACCAACCTCAACTCAGCAGTGGACACATACAGACCGTACTGTTATTAGTTATCGCTAGGGAGTGTCAGCGAAAGATTACCACTCCCTTAGAAGTAAGTGTTTGGACAGCGACCGCGTCATGGTTTCAACATGCCTATATCTGCGCTTAAACCGACGTGAGAAAACTACAGCAGCAAGACCACTGTCAGAGTCCCTTGACAGTGAGAACACAATAGCTAATCTTGGCAACAAACTGACTAGAAAGTTACCATAACATCCAGAAGAGACCTTGCACTACCCCCATCTCTGCTGTAGGAACAGAGTTGAAGGTCTTAGTTGAATGTTAGAACTAAGTAAGAAAGACCCCGTGGAACTCATTTGCGTCCTATGAACTAACGGATGCATGTGAATGCATTGCTGTGGTCTTCGAAAACAATGGAGAGTGGAAGCTACTCAGATGTAGATTGACAAGAAGTCTACGTATTGACCGCAAACAGTGGTTGATAGCAAAGACCAAAGAGATGGAGAAGGCAGTGGTGATGGGTGACAATTGACAGTTATTTAGACCAATGAAAGAAGCTGAGACAAAATGTTATTGATTAGTCGAATTATTTCGGAGAAATTGGATTAACTAATGTGTTAGTCAGAGTATGGGGACTAGTTATTATCTCCACTGATTACTGCGAATCACTGATTTTCTCAGTCTCCAAGAACGGAGAGAAATCGTTCATTGATAGCCAGTTGGAAATCGGTCTTACGAAAAACGTGTCTGAGATTCCAGGTTCTATAATCATTAGACTTCTAGATGAAGCATGGAAACTGCGAATCTGGAAAAAACCAATCACTTTTCAAACCTAGTCGTGAGTCGAGAGTTTTGGGTCTTATGGTAGAGTCTTCTACTGGAAATGGTGTCAAGTAAGCGTATCCTGTTGATGGCTCTGTATAAGGGCTTAAGGTGTGTTATCGAGTGATTATGTACATCGAATGGTATCTGTTAAGGGTTTCTCTTACCTCCATTTTCATTAAATTTCTTCACATACCTACTTATGTGGGTCACCCTTTCCTAGTCTGACTTTCCACAGACCGATCTTGTAGTAGGATACTCCTTATTAGAACAACAGTGCACGGATGACATATTTCTGTTGCGTGGAGATGTTGACAGGATACAGAGCCTACTGGATAAACTGGTCGACGATTAGAAAATGTATAGGATGTGTTTCTAACCTCTCAAATGTAAATTATAACTTCAGAACAGGTCTACGTTCGTAACCCGTCCAACTTTAAGGTATGTAGTGGTTTCACCCATCGACCACTTCATTAACTTGGAAAGTCAGATCAACCGCAGTCGATCAGCGATTGCTGAAATATGTGCAAAGATAAAAACGCCTTGCACGAATTTTATGTATTACACTATGTCTACAGTGTGTCATTCAATTGGATACTAAAGGTCAGGTGTAAGTAATGCATTCCACTTTGCCCTATTCCGCAACTTCTGCTGAACATTGCTAATTTAGGTAGAAGACATACACAGGTTGCAGGTGTTCGACCACCGTTGGGTTCGTAGCATAGGCCGTGTAACAGTGTCAGCAAATAATAACCACAGACGTTTCGTGTAGTTTTTAGGCGAAATAAAAAGATGCGTGGTAGGGTTTCAAGCCGAAGTCAACTCATTAGCATGAAACTGTTGCGCTGTTGCGCTCACAGAATACAACATCGAAATATATATTCCGCATGCATGGTCACCATCTGCTGGTCGCATACTGCCGCCAAAGTACGTCTAGAATAGAGAAGTAAGCTAAGAGCTGTCACACCAAATCACTACATCAGTCCACCAAGTATTTGGCTGGTGGTCTAAGACATGTGGAGCAATGTGAACATTCTCGTTCGGGTCTACAACCCAATCGAAATTCTTGGCTAGATACTTTAGGTGACATTCCTCAAAATTTATCTCAATCCCATAGATGCATCCACATATTATCATCGTAATCAGCATAACTAATTTCAATGGTCCTTCATTCTTCCCCCCTTATCTAATTACAACCAACTGCCATTAATAAATCCATGATATCCATCGTGACATCGAAAACAAAAAACATCTGGATGACAGAACCTTCTCCAACAAAACCATTCTAAAGTTGCACATTCGAATATATGTATACGATTCAAAGACTGCGATGAGTGAGCTAAATTAAACTTAAGTAGCAATGCTGATAGTCACTTGATTGATTACCTTCCTTCTTAAATTCCTTATCGTTCATGTTGGTGTCTTATAGCTCGATGTGCTAATGTGAGGTGTGGGAAGGTGGACCGTCATGAAATAGTTCCACGTGCCAGGTCAATGTTCACTCACTATTCCACATTCCATTCAACAAACTCAAAACTTCTCTCATACTTTCAGTTGTTTTATCATTAAAAATAAATCAAAATACATGTGAATGTTGATCGAGACGCATAATTCAACTAATTCAGCTGAGGCAGTTTAAAATGGTGGTAGAAAATTATTCTATGAGATGAACAAGACAGATCAAATGGTTTTTTAACCAAAAATTACAACCAACGACCAGCGACATTTGATAGAAAGGCAAAAGGCAAATCTGTGATTCAGATTCGATAATACTTCGAGAAACGGAAATCCATGGTGATGGGATATTTGTATAAGCACATCACTGATAACCTTCTCACGAAAAACAATAAACTGATGTGTATTATAACAATTCAGGATGAAATGTAAATGGTATGTATAATAGACTGGTATATGGAGGAGGAAGGCAAACATTCAAAGTATTCAATAGTAAATCTAGAGTCATATTAAGGGACATTGCCAATCGATTAGAAGAAAGAAATTCCTTCTCCACCTCAAAACATCCAGGACTGTTATGTAGTTCCACACAGAAATCGTATACATTGAAGTCAACCGTCGTCACAACCCAACACTGAACAACAATTCTGCCTTTCACAACTCTCTCAACATTAGTTGATAATACCATGGTAATATTCTATTGGGACTTCGTCCTTCTACACTTTATCTCGTTATGATGTATACCGAGAAAATTCTCCTCAGTAAACTTAACTTGCAGTAATTTACAACTACGAATTTTAGTAGTCTGAAGACACACACAGAGGTATGTATTTTCTATATGTAACTATCTATGAGAAATATATTTAGAGGGAACTTAGACTGTCTTTTGTATGTGCTGGATATGCTGATTGGCTGCCCACCTCGACGCGCCATGTTAGGCTAGGAGAAGCTGAAGTAGGTTGTAAGAGGGTTTAGGGTGGTTGGACTGAGTTATGACACCAGTCGATGAAGTCCTTGACTATATTGCACTGATGCGTGTGGGGAGTCTTCCAGTCAACGAGAATCATTAATTAATGATTTTTCATGAAATGGCTGTAAATCAGTCACATTCGCGTAGACAAATTTCTTATATCTTCCGAACGGATATTATGCGCATGCTTTTAACTAACGGGTAACTTTGTACGCAAGAGCTGCCGTCTGCAACCCGGGACGAATAGGGATAAAACCGAAGCTGGATGGGAGAGTTTATTCCTCTCAATCGATGGATAAGCTCGTGAATATGTGTGCACGTGAAATATGACCTTGTCCGCAATTTGAGACATTGATGTGGTCAGAGTAAGTATTAACCAATCAGCGGATCGCATTACAATGAGGGCAGAAAACAAACTGTTAGTCATGCCGTAAAAATGATATGGTAATGACAAGTTAAAAGTGTTCAGATCAGTAAGAATGTTGTATGCAGACTTTGTATTTTGATTTTGTCTATATTACAGAATTGAGAAGATGCCCCGTTATTCATTTCGCCTACTAAGCCTATAATAGTCTTTTGTAGTCATTTGTTTGTCATATAAATATATTAATTGTTTTGATAGGTATCAAAATAAAATTAATCCAGGGTTCTTAATATATCTTTTCAAGGGCATATGAAGGTGTAGAGCAAGTAATCCACGTCAGATGTATCAGGAATCAAGACTTAATTATTGAATTTGAATACGATGGCCTCATATCATTTCGAATAGATTTACACTTAGCTAAGCATCCAAAGACTTCATCATAATTTGTCACTTACGGTCTGTAATTATAGTTCGTTTCTCCGATGTGTTTTACTTTTTCCGTTTCTTTTTATTATAAATATATTTAGAATACTATTATGGTCTAGTTAGCGGCTAGCATGGGAATCCAGGACGCGCGTTTCGTCCTGTTTGGGACTCTTCAGCATCCATAAGCAATATTCGCAATAAATTGGTCTGGTTAACACTACATAAACTTTTCATAGATATAATTTATTGCTTATATTTCAAGAAAGCTTTTCCTGTTTAACGTACCTTAGTTTATTAACAGATTTATTAAACGTTTCTTCGGAAATGGAATTATTCTAACTATTCTGATCTGAATTAAATAGAAGCCTTGATTTATTAGTTCAGAGTTTTGATGAAATAACCAAAAGCATTTAGTGTTCATAGGCAGTTTATAAACATGATTGCATAACTTTTCATGGTGATAATTTATCTCATTAAATTATGCCTGTTATTTGTTCTTAACAGCTAGATGGGGAATAGGCAGTTTAGTTAGATGCATTTGCGTTTGTACTTAGCCATTATCTGGCGAAAATCAACAGTCATGATAACTGTGTGATGGTTATCCAAGTTCTGGAAATTCAGAAATTTATGACTTTTCGTCAAATGGGGATTAAGCTAGATCATAGTGAAAAATATTTTGATAAAAATGTCCTTTAGATTGATGATAGTGAATTTCTAAAATGGCTACTTTGGTAATTTTTGAAAGTAGTTCGATTTTATGAATACCTATGCGTCTTAATCATGTCAGCTATCCTTTTCTTCTTGCAGCCAGAAAGATTACGATTGTATACGTTACAATAAGTTCGAACACCTACTGATAAACAATGGTTTGAAATCAACATAGTTTACAACTTCAGAAGTCTTTAAAGGATTCATAGAGGAATTACTGACATCACTTTTAATACATTCATAATCGTTAGTGACTGATCTTATAAACCAAAGATTACTCTAAGCGTATTCACAGGGTATATTTTATATTTTCAGTTCTACAGGTGCTTATCCACCAGAAAGTTGTATTTTTGCTGAAGGCTTAAATTTGGCTGCTTTCTTGAGTAAGTTTAAACCCTATTATCTTTAAAAAGTATATTTTAAACACAAGTTTTTATTCACCATGGATTGATATCAGTTGAAGAACCATTGAAAACCTGGGAGCACTTGACATCTATTTTCATGCTAGTATGTAACTCCTCCGTAGTATAAGCACTCATGACTCCGCTAAGAGTCGAGCATGTCACCATTGAACCACTGGAGAAAAAGAAATCCAATGGTCAGCATCTTTCTACCTCTGTCAGTTCGTGATATAACGTGACTGTCATCTATTACCATCGTTGAGCATTTGTTCTCACCTTCGACTTAATTTGACTCACCGGTCACAACTTCTCATGAGAACTTCTAGAAATCTCATCTCGAGGTAAGTCAGTAATAAGCACTGGATAGTAATTCAGTTAAGAGATTTTTAAGGATTTATTGAATTCAACTTGGTATTCTTCACAGTCTGACATTTATTTTAACTAACATACATTCAGCAAGTGTCGACAGCAGGAAATAAACCAGTTTACTATTTCAAGTTCACAGAGTTTCATTTTGCAGATGCTAGATCCTCCAAAATTTATGTTTCATGCCTAAATTTCATAAATTTACCTCGGAAAATTTAGATGATATTTTTTCTGTCTCATTTATGTATTGCTAAGCTTTATCGCTTTTTGGTTATTCTTTCATTTTTAATAAGATAATTTGTCTGTTCTATTCAAGAACGTGTACATTGTATGTAAATGCCTCTAGAGTCATACTTTCCATTTGAAGAAGGCTCTCATCAGTCCATTACTGTCTTCTTTCTTTTGTTAGTTGAGAAAGTTGTCGAAGGTCATAAGGTTCATATAGTGTCTAGATTACATGTTCTTAATTAACAGTACCGAAATGTCAACGACTTTCAACTGAATAACTGCTTTTGGTGATGTGTCGTTCATGCTTAAGATTCTGTATGTCTGTTTCTGTCTCTCTGTATCACTCATTTACCAATTCACTTTCTTTCCTTCTTTCTCTTTTTCGACATATATATATGTATGAGCATTACTATTCTCTTGTTATTTGACCTTTTTGTTCATAGTGGTACATAGGGCTTCAGTAGCACGTTGCCATTTCACTCTCTCCTCTGTAGTCTATCTTTTCAACCTGACTCCACAACTGCCTACAAGCTTACATTTCTTCCTCATACCATCTCCTCCATGTCATCCTCAACTCGGACGCCCAACTCATCGTTTTCCCTTTGGATTCCATTCGAGGGCCTGTCGCATGATGTCCCCAATCGGTCATCTCAGTGTATGTCCAGTCTAATCCATCTCCACTTTCTTCTTCTGCATATTTGTTATTTGGTTCGTTGCCAGCCATAGTGAGTTCCTTGTTACCTATTCTTTCTGTACTTTTGATCTTGAATATCAAGTAAGCGTAAGCGGCAGGTGTTGATGTACATCTGTAGTTTGTTGGAAATGCTTTTCGTAACGCTCCAAGTCTCTCAAACCACATAGAAACACTGATATGAGTGATGTTAGTGTTTAAAATCCGGATCTTGTTTGTGCTTTATACTGAGTGCAGTGGAGTAGATCTGCACACTGATTATTTCAGATTGATGAAGTGTGGCCTGTCTTGCTGTCTTTTCAATCCTGGCTTTGATATCGTTATCTGTGCTGCCACCTGTAGTTGAGACGATACTGAGTGCCTAGGTGAGTGGGTGATGGAGAGACAACTTCGTTTATATTTGTCGCGTTGATTGTGATTGGTGCTTGTTGTTGTTGTTGTTGTTGGATGGGTATCTTAATCACCTATGTCTTCTCTACGTTTTCTTGAAGTCCTGTCTTCGCCGCCTTTTCTGTTAACCTGTTAGTTTTTGCCTGTAGGACTTCGAGTTTGTGCGACAAGACATTAGACATAAATCATCATCATTGGCGAAATGCAAATCTTCTAGTGTTTGTATGCTCATCTTCTCACTTCTCAGAGTTTGTTGCATGATCCAGTCGAGTCGAGTTGCGTTGACCACAATCAGGAAGATGATGGGTGGTAGTAGGCGCAACCTTGTTTCACTCCTGTCTTCACTTCAAAGGCATCACTGAACTTTCCATTATGAATCACTTGGCATTTAGCGTCGTCATATAGCTGTTGAATGAGTCTGATAAAGGTTTGTGGTATTCCGTATTGTTGAAGCTGCTGCTAACTCACTTCTCGATCGACGCTGTCGAAAGCCTTTTCAAAATCGATGAAGTTGAGGTGAAGAGTTGACTGGCATTTCATGCTATGTTCTATAATGATGCGTTGCGTTGCAATCTGGTCCGCACATGATTTGTTCTTCCTGAATCCAGAGCATTTTTTTAGTCTCTGCAGAATGGCGCGGCTTAATGTTTTGCTTCGGGGGGACAGGAGCATGATTTCGCGCTAGTTCTTTTAAAGACTTAGGTCTCCCTTCCCTGGTAGTTTGACAAGATATCCCTTCTTCCAGTCTGCAGGTACCTTTCCTTCCTTCCTTGCGAACCTTCTGCAATAGTGGCGTGAGCGTGTCCGCTGATGTATCTGCGTCTGTTTTCAGTGCTTCTGGAGGAATTCCATCTGGTTCTGCTGCTTTTTGGCTTTCATCAACTTTATGGCGTTTAGGACTTCGGTTTTTGTTGGGGGGCCTGTGCTCACTGGTAATTCTGTGGCTGGACCGCTGGTGGTATTTCTGAACGAGTTGGTGGTGGTGGTCGAATCAAGAGTTTTTGAAGTGGTGAGCTCATTGTTTCCTTTGTTTCTCCTCTTTGCTAACTAGCTTTCCTTCACTATCTTTCATTGGTTTCATCTGTTTCGATCTCTTCCCAGATAGCAGTAACCTGGTTATTTGATGTAATGTTGTCAAGTCTCTCCTACCAGCAGCCTATTCTGCTTCACTTGCCAATGTGTCACAGAAGTATCTTTTGTCTTTGCGCCCACTCTTCTTCACCTCTTCGTCCAGTGTTTTATACATTGTGTTCAGTTCCTCTTTTCATTGTTCATCCTTGGACTGCACTGATTCATCTTCTGCTTCACCATCACCATCACCATCTTCCTCTTCATCCTCTATCAGCTTCCATGTGTCAGTCGAGATCCATTCCTTATCTTGGCGCTTCTTCTTCCTTCCTAACATGGTTATGCAGGTTTCTTTCCACACTGCTTTCAAAGAGTTCCGGTGTTCTTCCACACCCGATCCTTCAGGGATGTTGCTCACTATCTCCCAGTTTGTCCTGATGACTGACTGACGTGAAGATATCCATTGTACTTTCGTCCTTCAGTCCATTTTCTGTTCTGGGTGTTGAACTTCAACTTAAGCGGTGGTCTATCACCAACTGCTGTGAAGGCTTTCAACTTGATTTTGAAGGTAGGCTCCTTGCACTAGATAGTGAGTGGTGTGAACCTACAGCTGCTCCCCTTCTTCATCTTGTGTTAAGTAGGCTGGCTGCATCTCCACTTTCTTCACATTGAGGTGAAGTCGATCTGATTTTTAGTGTTTCCTGGTGTCTGGTGAAATCCATATCTCTCGCTTTGTGGATATCCTTGTGTTTGTACACACTGCCTCGCTGCAATCACCAAAACGTTGAATACACAGAATTCTGGAAACAGTTCTCCATTCTCCTTCATCATTTCATCGAGTGCTTCTCGACATATTATGAATTCTCCTCCTGTGTTGTCCCCTCCCAGTTTGGCATTCATGTCACCCCATCCATTAGAATTTTGATATCGCCAACTGAGGCGGTGTCTTGTCCAGTGTTGATTGAAGTTGTCTGTAGAATTCCTCCTTCTCTTCATCTGCATTATTTGTAGGTGCACAGCACAGCATTGTATGATTGTGACCTTCCTTCCTTTTCAGTTGAATCCATCTTGCTGTCATGATCCTGATGCAGGAGGAGACTGATTCCCACTGGATGAGAGAGGGCGTTTGATGCTGTTGGGGACATCATGATAGCCACTCCAAAACTGAGTGTGCTCATGGTTGTCGTCTGGGTGACAATATCGGAGTAAATTATTGACCCTTCAGTAAAAAATTTAGAGAGTCCACTTCCACTCCATCTGCTTTCGCAGATTCCAAGCACTTCAGTGCGATGCCTCCTCATCTCTTTTGCAATCTGGGCAGCCTTGTCAGCCAGCTTCAAACATCGTGTGGACATTCCATGTTCCCACGTTTACTCTCACTTTCATCAAGAGGAGAGAAGACACATTGGCTAGTTGGCTTCCAGAATGCTTTCACCAACTGGCGTTATTTCGTCTCCCGATTCCAGCTAGGAATAGGTTTGTTTTTATGTTTTATATTTTCTTTGAGCGTTGAAGTTTGTTTAGCGGTTGGGTTGGTTTTACAGGGTAGAGTTGCTATCCGTATGCCCAACCTTCAACCAACATCAGTTAAAGAAACAAAGGAAACCTGGGAGCACTGGACAGCTGTTTCGTCCGACTTGTATGAGACTCCTCAGCAGTGCGCACCTACGACCTCATCAGGGGTCGAACCCTTGACCTTCAGGTTCCGTGGGCAGCACGTTGCATATAGCATAGTAAAGTTACTAACTACTCTTATGATTCTCAATATTTTAATCCCTACAACTGAGATCTTCGAATTGTTAGAATTACTTGAATGGATAATTCACTTTTTCATCTGAGTTTTTGAATTCCATATGGAAAAAAAGATTAAAATCATAACTCATTCTCTTTTTGAGTTAATTAGAATTTATATTTTCTCTAATAAATACAAAAGTTAATACTTATTTCCACTTATTTTTATTATTATTTATTTTACATTTCTTTTTACACAAGTAGAGCTATTTTTGGTCATTTTTATTCTTTTTTCAAATGAATTTATAAACAAATATGGTACCTAAATGATCAAGTATATTACGTCATTGCATCATATTTATTCTAAGCATTCCTCTGTTTGTTGTTATCATGCATAAATTACTTATTTGTATTATGTTTATGTATTATGTATCATGTTCATTTAACATACTAGTGAATGTGTTAAATAACAAACATCAACATGAACATCGAGCACCTAATCATTCAT